AGAGCGGGGAGGGAGGGGAAAAATGAGGACCTAATGCCGGGGGCTTAAGTGGAGAGGAAATGTTTTGAGAATGATGAGGGCAATGAATGTACAAATGCGTTTTACACAATTGATGTATGTATGAATTGTGATAAGAGTTGTATGAGCCCCTAATAAAACAATTAAAAAATAGAAAATGGGAAAAAAAGAAACATTTGATAAAATCCAATGGCTTGATGAAACCCTAAAGAATATTAGAACAGAAGAGATATTCTCAATGTGATTCAGAGCATATTTTATAGCCAACAGTTCAACACTATAATAGAGAAGGACAGAGTTTCTCCCCAGAAATGTAGAACAAGATTAGGGTGCCTGCCCTAACCATTTCTATTCAATATTATATTAGAAACCTTAGCCATAGCAATAAGACAAAAATAATAATACATAAATAAACATCTCCTCGGAGAGATCAACCAGCAACCTGGTGGCAGGTTGATTACATAGGACCACTTCCATCATAAAGGAGGCAGTTTTGTTCTTACTGGAATAGACACCTATTCTGGATATGGATTTGCCTTCCCTGCACGCGATGCTTCTGCCAAAACAACCATTCATGGACTTACAGAATGCCTTATCCACCAACATAGCATCCCACATAGCATTGTTTCAGATCAGGGAACTCACTTCACAGTAAATGCAGTGTGGCAATGGGCCCATTCCCCTGGAATCCACTGGTCGTATCATGTTCCTATCATCCTGAATCAGCTGGCTTGATAGAATGATGGAATGGACTCCTAAAGACACAATTACAGTGCCAGCTAGATGGCAACAACTTGCGGGGCTGGGGCAATGTTCTCCAGGATGTTGTATACACTTTAAACTAGCAACCAAAATATGGTGTTGTGTCTCCACTAGCCAGGATTCATGGTCCAGGAACCAAGGGGTGGAAGCTGCAGTGGCACCACTCACTATTACTCCTAGTGATCCACTTGCAGCATTTTTTATTCCTGTCCCAGCAACCCTGTGTTCCTCAGGCCTGGAGGTCCTGGTCCTGAAGGAAGGAACTCTCTCCCACCTGGAAACACAGCACGGATTCTACTGAACTGGCAGCTGAGAATGCCCCCTGGCCACTTTGGGCTTCTCATGTCTTTTGATCAACAGGTCAGGAAGGGTGTCACTGTACTAAGTGGTGTGATTGATCCTGATTACCAAGGAGAAATTGGACTGGTGCTACATGATGAAGGTAAAGAAGAATATGTCTGGAATCCAGGAGATCCCATAGGCTGACTCTTAGTGCTACCATGCCCTGTGATTAAAGTAAATAGTAAACTACAGCAACCCAATCCTGACAGGACGTATAATGACCCAGACCCCTCAGGAATGAAGGTCTGGGTCACCACCACCGCCCCGCCCCCCCACCCAGGTAAAGAGCCATGGCCAGCTGAGGTGCTGGCCAAGGGCAAAGGTAATACAGAATGGGTAGTGGAAGACGGTAGTTCTACCTATCAGTTATGACCATGTGATTAATTGCAAAGGTGAGGTTTGATTGTCAGTATTTCTTCTTTACATGTGCTTATCGAATATCTTTCCCTTGTTCATGGGTAATATACTGGATACAAATAGGTCCAGTGTATTTTCATTTATATGTGTGCTAGCAATGTGATGTTGGGTGTAATCATAATTTCATTAATGTCTGGAAATTATACATAACTAAAGAATTGTGTACAAGTACCAAGTTGGCAAGGTGTGGTCTGTGATAGTTAGGTTTATTGTGCCAACTAAGCTTCCATAGGAACATGTGGGTGGAATTTAATCAGGTCACTACTTGGTTGAAGGGTGACAGAGATAATGCTTTCTGAGGCTGGCCTTTAGCTCCCTTTTCTCCCTGGTGATCTGACCAGTGTGCTGCTGCTTGAGCTAGTCCTGTGCTTCAACCGTGTGCAACACTACCAGTAGGCTGAGCCAACCCGAGGGGGGGATCCTGTAGCCTTGCTGTGCCATTGCTAGAACGTGAGGCTCCTTTGAGACCCACTTCTCCACACTGCTGGTGGATTATGTCAGCGTGTGTTCATCACTAGAGCTTGAGACTTCATGGGGACTGCTTTGCTATGCTCCTGTGCTACTGGCTGTTGCTGCCCAACCTGCCCTCTGCTGCCTGCAGGCCCACTCTGCTGTCTGCTTCCTTGACCTTGGACCAGCAGCCAGCATGAGTTTCAGGACCTTCAGTGTATTAACTGTTCCATGAAAGTTAGTTGAATTGAGCCCTCTGCACTGCTGTGTGGCCCAATTAGCCGTTATATTTCTTCTCGGTATATAAAACCTCTCTCTCTCTCTCTCTTGAAAGAAAAAACGAAGTAGGAGGACTCACACTTCCTGATTCAGAACATATTATACAGGGACAGTTGTCAAAACAGCCTGGTACTAATATAAGAACAGACACCTAAACCAATGGAATAGAATAGAAAGTTCACAAATAAACTCACACATCTATGGTCAACTGATTTCTGACGCAGGTGCTAAGCCAACTTGATAGTGAAAGAAGAGTCTCTTCAATAAATGGTGCCAGGAGAACTGGGTTTCCACATACAGGGAACATGAAACATGATCCATGCCTCACACCACACACAAAAACAAACTCCAAATGCATTAAGGACCAAAAAGAGTAAAACAATACATCTTCACAGAAAATGGGAAGGCAATGCTTTCAGGCTTAGCTTTTAACAATGGATTATTTAAGAACAAAAGTATGAACAAATGCAAAAATAATCAATGGGACCTCATAAAAATTAAAAGCTTAACATTTTAAAAACTGCTGTTGTTGAGAATGAATACTGCAAAACATAAACCAACTCCACAGTTTCGACATGACATTAGTGTGCAAGCATCCTGACTCTCCTTTTCCAAGTTGTCCCCTGCTCATACAAGCCCACTGGTCCTTAAGGTGGCTGTCTAATCCTTTGGATGGCTAGTGTTATTTTAACCCCAAAACGTTCAGTGATGGTAGCCAGGCACCAACCAGTGCTTCTGGTCTCAGGAAAAAGGATGTAATTGTTCACAAAGATAATTAGCTAAATATTCCATGTCTTCCTCCTATTCTTGATCTCCTTCCTCTGTTGCTCCAGGTGACGAGAGACCAATTGTCATGCCTTGAATTGCTACTTGCAAGATCAGCAGTTTGAATCCATCAGCTGTTTCATGGGAGAAAGATGAGGCTTTCTGCTCTTAATAAAGGCAATCTTGGAAACCTCACAGTGGCAGTTCTACTGTTCGATAGGGTCACTGTAAGGTGGCGTCAGCTTGATGCCAGTGGGGTTTTGTTTTGCTATGTGTGATTCAAGTCATAACTGCACCTCAAAGATTAGAAAAGAACCCTAAAAGGCAGTGGGCCTCCAGGACAGTTGAGAATTTCACACAGGAAAGAGGGGAGTGGCCTGACCCTGGGACCAATGGAAGTCTTCGTCTGGGATCTCTCCTAGAATTTTGCCTGATGCATCTCTTCACAGAAGAGGATCCTGCCTACCTATGAAGAGGGACAGAAGGGACTGAGCTCCCCGGGGCCCTTGGGCTCCACACGGAGGTTCTGTTGCTTTCAGGCCAGAAAGGCAAGATTAAAATCGAACGGAACACCCCCGCCAGAGCTGGCGAGAGTACATTGCACACAAAATGGTGTGCCACTCCATCTCCTTTCCGTGGTTGCATTCTGGATGGCTGGGTGCTATTTCAGCCACTTTTTGAGACTTGTTCTATCACACTATCATATAATACCATTTTTACAGGACCACATTAGCCCTGGGAGTCCTGAGGGTGCATTCAGATACAGGCTGGACTGCTAACCGCAAGGTGGGAGGCTCAAACCCACCAGTGAGAAGATGAAGAGGCAATCTGCTCCCATGAAGAGCGATCGCCTACGAAACCTTCTATAGCGTTGCAATGAGTCAGAATCGAAGCATGGGAATGGGTTTGGTTGTTAGGGGCTTTTTTTGTTTTTGTTTTGCGAGGGGGGGTGTTCTTTTGTTTTGTGTTTTATGCTACCACGTGTGTCCATGATGAAGAAACTCCGTGTCAGCAGAAGACTTACCTTCTGTATTTTGAAGTTTGAGCAGGTCTTGTTAAACATGCTGGCCACGGTTTGGTATTCTGAATGGCTGGGCTGCAGCTCCACCAGACAGGAAATCTGCTGCTTCATATCACTCCAGTTTTCCGGGATCTTAGCTGTGAAAGCAGACGTTGGGGGATTCATCCAAATCTGGAAGGCTCATCTCCAGAGTCTACATTCTTGGTAAGCTTTGAACACCTGACTACCCTCTGTGCTCTTGCTTTACAATCTACTGCTTGTGGAAGAAGTTCCTTCTCTTTGCAGGAGAATGTCTTCCAAAATGTAGACCACACACAATCAAAGATCAAAACCAAAAGGAAGGCTTTGTTTACAAAGCCAGCCCCACAGAGCTACCAAATCAGAATCTCTTGCATGTAGATCCTGCAGGTCTGGATGGTGCTAAGATAGGAGAATTGCCGATATGGTATAACTCAGCTGCATGGTTTGATCGGTCTTTAATTATACTAATTTTTAATGTAATAATCGAATTCCCTATAATGTGTGAAATAGCCACTATTGTTCTTTTTACACTTATGAGTTCCTATCAGAACTCCTCACCACCACAGTCTATTTGCTCATTATTATTCTCAGTGTCCTTAAGTGTTGGGCAACTGACCGATTGTGTGGGCAGCTCTGGTCCCTCCTCTGCTAATACAGCATATGAGATTCTTCAGGTGCCCACGGCTGCTCAGAGTCTAAGGAATTCGTTCCCACTGAGACCACAAGAGTTGAATATAGTATATTTGTAAACCAATTTACCAGTTTTCAATGGAGTTCAAAGGCAAGAACGGCCCTCTCTCTACACAAGACAGACATGTCTATCTTGGGGAGGAGGTGCAGTGCAACCTTCTGGAAAGAGTTCCCACAGGCTCCCGGTCCCTCCCAGGCCATCAGTCACAGGCACAGAACGAGTGCCCTTTCTAACTAGCTTGCCTTTTCATCTTCTGCCTTTGACTTTTCTTCTAGGAGACGATGAGCCGCTAGCCTTTTCAGTCCATGGCGTTCCCTCCCCTCCCCGAAGGAGCTATTATCTCGCCAGCAGAACTGACTCTGGGAAACTTGTCACCCAGAGCCATGGAAACAAGTGCGGGGTTTGATGACCGCTGCCATTTGGCTGGTCAACCTCAGGCAGGTGGGCATGTCCACGCGAGGACACACATTCCGTCAGCTCAGAGTCCACGTTTAGGATTTTGTTCTACAAGGCTTACTTGAGTTTTGAGTAAACGTTGGACTTGGGTACCAAAAGATCGAGAGTGGATGTAAAGTCAGGGAACTCACCTTCAGCTTTGTTGATGCGCTGGACAGGTAAGGTGTTTCCTTGTGCATCTGTAGCGAGGTTCGCCTGCAAGTCCACTGTGTAGTTCTGTTTATTAATTTTGATATTCACTGTGCTTTGATTTTCTTTCTTTGCTTTCTCCAATTTCAGATTGGTTATTTTGTCAAAAGAATAAAAACTGTTCTTGTCGTTATATTGCCATTCTACAAAATCACTGATATACTCAGCCTGAGTCTCCTGTTCTGTGGCCTCTCTGACTTTCTTAATCATTTTCTCAATTTCACTTGCGGCTGTCTTCACATCGGTTTTAACTCCTGATACTTCAATCAAAGGTTTCTTCGCATCCAGAGAAATAGCGATATTTAGGTTCCTCTGCAGCTGATTCAAATCCCGATATTCCTCTTCATCAAAGTGTTTGATACACTCATCTTCGTTGGGGACAGTGAAAATTTCCTTCTTCATTGCATCCTGTATCCAGGCAATAGCGCTTCCCACGCTCTTTTCATTTTCACCACACACCTGAAAAATTGTTGATTCTGTTTTCTTTTCCAAAACCAATGGAGTTTGCTTTTTGGGAGGCTTCTGCGAGAAACCAAAATAGGCTACAACAGAAGAAAAGAGGAAGATGAGGTCTTTTGCACGTGACATGAAGATTACGACTATGTATCGCGTAGAAACGAACAACTCACATGCGATTTTAGATATCACCGACAGATAGGAGGAAGACTGCGCCCCTTCTCGCTTCTTCATGTGGGCGTAGAACACATCCAGCACCGGGGTCAGCAAGATAACAACTTTGACTCTTTTCACAGATTTGGCGGATCCTTTCTTGACAAAGTCTTCAATGGCGTCCATCATGGCTTTAGCGACCTTGTCAGGGGACTGCTTGGCATTCCCTAGAAAAGCAAGTGATAGAAATGAGGGAAAACAAGACAGAATAAAAGACCCAACTGAGGAGTCAATGAGGGATTCCAACTCTTGCAGAGTAAACACCCACGACCTGTCGTCCGTCAAATGTTCTAGCACGATCTCAGCAAACACGTGACAAGTTTTAGCTATCATGGAAAAGGTTGGGTCCACAATGTCAGGAAGCTACGATGGACCAGGTTGCCTGTGATGTCTGACGTTCCTATCTGTTCCGCTGACCGGCCGATTACAGAACGCAGTCATCTCTTCTTAGCTCACGCTCAAAACAAACTCACCACCATCGAGTCAGTGCTGACTCATCATGACCCTGGGGGTTTCTGAGACCCACTGTTTACAGGAGCAGGAAATCCAGTCTTTGCCCCGTGGAGCTACTGCTGGTTTTGATCTGCCGACCATGCAGATCACAGCTCAACTCTTAACCACTGCACCACCAGGGCTCAGTCTCTTCAAAAGCAATTGCTGTTAATGGAGGTGGAAACAGCATGCTCTTTACAAAGAGAAACAATGTGTTTCATCCGTTATCATGTAATTTTATGCATGAGCCCTCATTCTCCCAGATATCTTTAGGGGGCCTGACTTAAACTAAGCTCATTTTTTAAGAGACCAGAAGCTCTAAACTATTAGTTATAATCTATAATAATTTGCATAAAGCTATCCAAGGCTTCTGGGAAGGCTTCCCTTGCACATCCACTGAGATGTTGACTGTCGGGCAGGCTTCAAAGTTGCCACCCAGAGCAGGTCCTTTCCTGTGTTCAGGCTACTCTGTCTGTCTGTCTGTCTGTCTAGCTGTGTAAGCCACAACCTGTCCTAGGTAACCAGTCCAAACCAACAGAGTAGAACTGTCCCAGGGGTTACCGAAATGGACCATCAGCCTCCTCTTTCTCCCAAGGAGTAAAAGCAGCCCAAACCTTAATCCACTGTGCCACTAGGGTGCCTTATTCCCTCGTTCAGCGATTCTCAACCTGTGGGTCGTGACCCCTTTGGGGACAAACGACCCTTTCACAGGGGTCGCCTGAGACTATTGGAAAACACATCTTTCCAGTGGTCTTAGGACTGAGACCCCCTCCTCTATCCGTCTCCAGGTGGGTCCGCCCACATGCAGATACGCCCACCTATGAGTACCCTGCATGAAGACTGCTACCCATGCTACACCGTGCTTCAAGACAAAATTTCATTGATTTGTCATTAGAAATAAATATGTCACAATATAATAATTACATACTGTTTTTGTGATGAATCACTATGCTTTACTTATGTTCAATTTGTAACAATGAAAATACATCCTACCTATCAGATGTTTACATGATGATTCATAACAGTAGCAAAATTACAGTTATGAAGTAGCAACGAAAACAGTTTTATGGTTGGGGGTCACCACCACATGAGGAACTATATGAAAGGGTTGTGGCATGAGGAAGGTTGAGAACCACTGCCCTAGTAAAATCCTGAAAAGCCAGTTCCCAACAACAGGGACATGGAGATAGTCCCGCATGACTGCCGGCTGGGAAAGTCACACAAGTGTGGGCATTTTAAAAATCCCCTGGGTAAACTGGTGAGAGACATTAAAGACCCACCTGGATTATTTTCTGTTGAGAGTACCCATCATTATTGCAGGAAGTGAGAGTCGACAACTATGGGACACACCCAAGAGGGTTTGTCCTACTGCTTCTGATTATATTATCAAGGCAAGAGGCAATCCCTCCTTTACACAGCGATGGTTATCCTAGGCATATAGGGGTTACATAGAAGTGCTCAAAAGCATCCGTTCATTCACCATGCCCCATCACGGGGCAGAAGAATACGCATAGAATTCAGAAGATGTGACAGGTGGGGGACAGACAGCTAGATAGAAGTGTGTAACAGAGGCATACTAGGTTCAGGGGAACAGATCTGTTTCTGGGAAAGATGAACCCGGAAAAGTAAGGCAGAGGCACTGCCACAGACAGCCCAGGTCTGGTCAGGAGGCTGTCACAGCATGTTAGGCAAAAGAACTGAACAAAGAGGAGGTTAGGATGAGGCTGGCAGTGTAGAGATTCGGGAGATATTTAGGAAGTAAAGTCCTCAGGATCTAGTGACCAACTGGGTTTCTTCTTGGCTCTTTCTTCACCCTCGTTCACAACCCTTATCCTTTCACTCTGTCGTGGGTCATGAGAGCACACTGTACCACGCTTGCCTGTTTACACATCTGTTCACACTGAACGAGGTGCTCCTGGGCCCCAAACCATTCTTTTTAGCCGTCTTTCTATCTCTTGTATGTAAGCATGGCTCTCGGCTCAAAGCGAGCACTCTGTAACTCAATCCAATTAATAAATGAAAGATCCTATGAGTGATAAAGAAGGTAGAATCAATAATTCCAGATGAAAAGAGGTGCTTTTAATATGAGTGGGGCTATAAGAGGAAGGGCGGGTGGGCTTTGGGGAAGACAACAGGGAATTCAACTTGAGGTATGAGCATTATTGCTAATCACCCATTACCTCCTCCTACGCAGGTGTCGGTGAGGAACAGCGAAGAGCTTCCTCTACTGCCAGAGACTGTTTTGATGTCAGTCCCAATTTAACTCATAGACACCCCATCCATTAGACTAAGAACCTTCTTGAGCAATGGTAGAGATGAGTAAGGAAGGCAAGCAAGAAGCAATACTAGCCTTGTTGCTTTCATTGGTGGGTGTCAAAGATGGACAGACATATGGATTTGATATATTGCTTAATCTGTTAGGAATGATTGTTATCACAGAGGAATGAAATCACAAAAGGGTCATAAATTATACTTTTAGAGCTAGCAAGACAATAAAGGCAACACGGCAGTCTCTATAGGAACATTATAAGGAATCGTTAAGAATTACAAAAAGCAATATATGGGTCAAAGGATCAGAAAAGAAAAAAAAGATCCTGAAAGTTGTGAGAATGCTTATGTTTATTGAGGCTAATCTTTTGAGGACCTAGAATGCCGGTCTGAGAAACATTGATTCCTTTTTTTTTTTTTTTTTAATCTTTTATTTAGGGGCTCATACAACTCTTATCACAATCCATCCATACATCAATTGTGTAAAGCACACTTGTACGTTCATTGCCCTCATCATTCTCAAAACATTGATTCTTAAGCAATGGGATCAGATCCAGTGTTCAATGCTCTCTGGCCAGGACCTGTCAGCTCTAGTCTACTTTAAATCTGAAAGTATATGCCTCCACACCTCCCACACAGTAGTGGGCTTAGGATTCATGGGAGACCAAGAAGCAAATCAATGTGTATAGATTGATTCCTGGGACGGCAGTTCAAATAGAACCACTATATTATTGAAAAACCAAAGCACCACAATCATTATAAAATGTTCCATAAAAAGACACTTGAAGAAGGCAAGTGAGCTGAACACTGAGAATGTGAAGAGTTGAATTTCGAACCCAGTAGGTTCTGGTGACTGAGAAACCTCCACACAGAGAGTCTATCGGGTCAGCTGACCCAGCAGACTGCTGAGGAGGGGAGGAGAGGTCGAGACGTGCTTATGCACACCTCCCCAAAGAGGAGTGGATGCTGATTTAATGAGAGCAACAGTTCTCCACAGAGAGGGCACAGAACAGGGAAGTTAAGGACTTAACCATGGAAGATAGGTAGGCAAGTGAAAAGAGAGAGACAACATATAGTAAGAGGGAGGTTAGCAAATAGTTATGGGGCACGGTGCAGGGACCATAGATTAGTTAATGTGGCTCTGTAGCCAACGTTTCCACGTCCCAACAAACTACCTTTCCCTGCATGGGTCTGGTAAGAAGGCGGGAGAAGACACTATAAGATACACCTGTGGGTAGAAAGGGGGAGCCAATTATAAGGATCTACCCATAACCTCCTCCCTAGGGGATGGACAACAGAAAAGTGGGTGAGGGGAGACGTCGGACAGTGTAAGACATGACAAAATAATAATACTTTATAAATTATCAAGGGTTCCTGAGGGAGGGGGTCAGGGAAGGAGAAGAAACAATGAGGAGCTGAAACCAGGGGCTCAAGTAGAAAGCAAATGTTTTGAGAATGATGATGGCAACAAATGTACAAATGTGCTTGACACAATCTATGTATGTATTGTGATAAGAGTTGTATGAGCCCCCAATAAAATGATTAAAAAAAAAAAAAGATACACCTGTGAGTAATTGGGAATAGAGTCATTGAAAGGGCACCCTGCTGTGTATACAATGAGCCCTCTGAGAAGCAGGAGGAAGAATCTCATTACCAGCAAGATCCAGATGTGAAGTGCCTCTTCTGGACCTGAGATCCCTGCGTTGTGAACGTCCTGCATCCAGAAACAGCTACAGCATCAGAGGAGCCAGAGCATGGAGCAGAGTGATGGGTTCCAAATCCACAGATGAACGCTTTCATCCGGGGCTTGGCTTGCAGAGTAGGGTGACTCTGCGCACTTAATTGGAGAAGTTGGACTTGTTACCCTACTGAGGTGGAACTGAGGAAGCCTCTGGGCTGAGGCTTACTGGAGTACCGTGTCTCTAGGCACTAAGTCCAGGAAGCTGGGCTTGCTGACCCCTTCAGGGGAAGGTTTACTGGAGTAGGGTGCCTCAGGGATCTGGGTTTGCAGACCCCTGGAGCTGGAGCTGAATGCCTTCCCAGTGAGTCTCTGGCCCTTTGGGCATTTATTAGCAGACCTGGAACTCTGTAACATGTCCTGGTAAACAACTATCCTGAGCACTGCTCACTGGTGTCAACTTGTTAATGTCCCTAATAAATTCTTTAATCATGAAGTTTGTCAGTAAGTTTCTGTGTACCCACCATAATGGATATTATAAATTAGAGAGATGAATGATAGAACATTAATGAAGGCAATACACCGGGGAAGACTTCGGAAGTTTGCAAGGGTTAAAGGCAACAGAGGCAAATACTATTATATACACAGTCACCAACACTAGTGATATTTGAGTTGATGTTTAGACAGAGACACTCTTCCAGGCGTGGAAGGGTGAGTGGGGGTACACCCATGAGGACAGATAGATTTGAGAAAGTACATTTGTATGTGTGTAGCTCTACTGCAAATATATCAATGAAAGTGGATACAGGGGCAAAGTTAAGAAAACTTGAGGTCATTCGGTGCTGCCCAGAGTTAGTAGCAACCTCGTGTACAACTGAATGAAACATTGTCCTGTCTGCGTCAGCTCACAAGTTTTCTTCGTTTGAGTCCATTGCTGCAGACACTGTATCAATCCATCTTGTCGAGAGCCTTCCTCTTTTTCCCTGCTCGGCACTTTACTAAGCCCGATGTCCCTCTCCAGGGCCTGGTCTCTCCTCATAACACGTCCAAAGTACTTGAAACAAAGTCTTTTACTTTGTCTTCTTGAGCTGCCCTTTGGAATTTTCTGTTCAGCTCCCTGACTTAATCGTTTTTCTATTTGCCATAGCTACTCTACAACTATACACGTGGACTTCTCTGGAAATCAAATTAACTACATCTGCCATGGAGACGATGGAGAAGCTCAGTATCAGCAGGTAAAAACCAAGCCGGGGCCAACTGTGGAACAGACCACCCATTGCTCATACGGAGCTGAAGAAAATCAAAACCAGTCCATGAGACCTAACAGACGAGCCTTGAGTCTATCCTACCTGAATGTCAAGAACACCTCGAGAACTGACTTGATGCACTGAACACTAATGACAGAATACTATAGGGTGACATCAAGAAGATCATTCATGAAACAAGCAAAAGGTTATTTAAAAGGTAGCCAAAAGAAGAGAGAAAAGGCCAAAGCGGAAAACTTCTTAGACATAACCAAACACCTTGGTGGGCCTAGGGCAGTGGTTCTCAACCTTTCTAATGCTGCGGCCCTTTAATACAGTTCCTTATGTTGTGGTGACCCCAATCATAAAAGTATTTTCATTGCTACTTCATAACTGCCATTTTGCTACTGTTATGAATCGGCTGACCCCTGTGAAAGGGTCGTTCGGCCCCCAAAGGGGTTGCGACCCATAGGTTGCAAACCGCTGGCCTAGGGGATCAGGACCACAAACATAATTCACAAGGGCAATGTTTGGTGAGTAGGGACCGGGTTTTCAAAGTTCTTGAGCAGCCACCCAGAAGAAAGAAGAAAGAGGAACATTGACAGACACCTGGAAGCAATTAGTCCAAGGTTCTAATGGACCACACAAACATCAGTCTCCACAACCCTGAGACCGGAAGGACCGGGTAGTGCCTGGCTGCCAAAACCAACTGCTCTGAAAAGGATCACAATGAAAGGTCCTGAACAGACTGGAAGAAAAAGATAGAACAAAACTCAAAATCCGAAGAGACTGGGCCGGCTGATTTGATAGAGATTAGCTGGACTCCTAAGACTATGGCCCTTTGCCAGCCTTCAGATCTGGAACTAAACTCACCCCCGGGGTACACAGTCAACCACTTAGGATCAAAAGGCAGTTTTTACCCAATGACCAAGTCCAGAGGGTAAAGAAAGACAGACAAATGGAGACAGGGAAACAGGAAGAACGGGGAATGAGTGATCCGACAGTGAAGGGATTGCAGTGAACGGGTTAAAATAAGTGCGAACTGCTGAATGTAAACTTATGATCTGTTCTGTAAACTTCCTCTGGCTTCATCAAAAAGGGTGTTTTTTTAAATTATCAAACAAGCAAAGGAAGAAAATAGATTCATACTAAAAATTTTAAAAAGACACAGAGCAACATGACAGAGAATGTGGCATGACCTTTCCTTCCTTCGCTCCCCATCTTGCCATCCCCTCTCCTTACTTTCTTCCTTGCTAGCTCAAAAATACCAATACTCTCATCAGTTGCCCTTTTTCCTCTTTTTCGGAACCACCCACAGGCGTGGCTCGTTCTTTCAAGGGCTGCCTTGGGGCGGGGAAGTTGTCCTCCCTCAGATTTGTCATTGGTACCATCAAGAGCCAACAGCAAATCAAAGGGAAAGTGAATGCCTGAGCATTGAGCCTTGACATCAGAGGCCACAAACCTGTTCCAATGGCTGGGAGGCAAATGGATGCATAATTCATTTTCTCACACTCTTGCAAGACACAGGTCACAGAATTTTTGACATCATTTCCTCCAATGACATGGATAATGCTCTTGCACTTCAGTAATCCTCCTTTGGTAATTATATAATCACTGTTGCTCTGCTGAGCTGGAAAACAGAGGACACGAAGAAGCAAAATGAGACGGCGATTCCCTTCTTTGTTCACAAAGCAAGATGTCTAATTTGGCTAACAAAACATTTTATATGAAAAGAGACTCCAAAAGTACCATCTTCAATGGACTTTTCTTACATAACTTCACTTTCAAAAATGGTTAGTATTACTCGTTGCTTCTAATTGCGGATTATTGGAATTTTCAGTAAAATGTGTGCTTTTAAGGGTTGTCTTGGTGGTGTTTCCCCAGTTCCAAGAGGTTCCCCAGCCTCCCCACAATACACCTTGTTGTCTTCCACAAAACACACAAAAGACACAGCATGGCGACTTACCTTGAACAGCACATTCTTTCTCCACATCTTGTCCAGCACCTTCTAAAATTGCTTTGGAGACTCCTACATGAGAGAATTAAGGTTGGAATATACTTGAATAAAAACACCACATATGAGTTTGGATCAGAACTGTAGCCTTATATAAATGCTTCTACATCACCAACGAATCTTATAACCTGAGTATTTCTGAAAACCAGAAAGGAAAAAAAAAATGGTGCTACAGGAATTCAACTGCACTTGTCTGTCAGTGTCTCAGACTGTGGTGCTTTGCATGTGGCTGTTGTGTTGGTAGCTACACATTCAGTAACTGAAATACCAGCTGTGTCACTGATGATGAACAAATTTCAGCAGGGCTTCCAGGTTGAGAACAGACTAGAAGGAAGGAAGAGGTGGCCCATTTCTGAAAAATTAGCCCCTGAAAACCTTATGAATGGTAGCAGAACAAATGTGCTAGAAGATAGCCCCTCAAGTTGGAAAACTCAAAACACGACTGAAGAAGAGCTGCCTCCTCAAATTAGAGTTGGCCTTAATGATGTGGGTGGAACTTTCATTTACTGATGGGCATGACTCAAAATGAGAAGAAACCACTGCAAATGTCCATTGACAACAAGGCATGGAATGCATGAAGTATGAATCTAGGAAAGCTGGAAGTTGTCAAAAATTAAATGGGATGCATAAAAATCGATATCATGGTAGTAAACTAAAATGTATTGGTATTGGGCATTTTTAATTAGATAGTCATATAACTGGAATGACAAATTCAAGAAGAATGGCAATGCATTTATCACCAAAAGGAATATTTCAACATTGTTTTGAAGTACCATGTTCTATGTGATACGATGCACACACCTATAAGGCCAATTAGTGCTATTAGTCAAATGTATGTACTGACCACCTATGGTTGTGATGAGGAAATTGAAGGATTTGACCAACTTCTTCATTCTGAAGTTGATCAAATATGCTATCGAGATGTATTAATAGTTATTGGAGGTGGTGAGATTCAGCTGGTTCACACCAGTCCAGTAGGACTGATACCTAATTTTTTTGTTGCATTCAGCGAACTTGTTATTAAAAGGGCACTTGTAACCAGCATTCACAAATCAAGAAGTAAGATAAGAGTTCCTGGGTAGACACTTTTGAATTAGTTTCTACCCAACCATCAGTGAACCACGCCATGGACCAAGCACTATGGCCACCTTGGATGCTGGCCGTATGGGGAACATGACATCCCCTACAAGCCACATCAGAAGGTTTTGTGAGAATTCTACTGAATGAACTGGGCCTTACCTCAAGACAACCCTTGGACTTAAGACTGAAACTCCCTGATGAGAGGAGAAAGAAATGACGGGCACCCTCAACTGTGGAATTGGCAGGTGTTGGACCTTAGTTAGGATCCGTCTTAGCGGGCATCCAAAGAAAGGGGACACAGAGCCACCATGTATTTACTGTCCCAATAACCTCCTTGCATTAATATGACACGTACTAATCTAAGAGGCAAGGCTCTCCCCTTGTATAGCATGTTACAGGAAACTTCCCCCCAGCACCAATGCCCATACTCAATGAAAACGAAACTCAATCATGTAAGAATTCAATCTCTATGAAGCATCAATTCATAGACTGCAGTTCACTGTTGGACTGTCCTCTTATAACCTCCTTTCCTCAACAGTACCTTGAATTCTGTGCCATTGGATAAACTATTGTTATCAATGGAATCACTTTCTACCCCAGGGGGATGATTGATAATGTTTTTTCTTTGTCATAAAATGATAATAAGACTGCTAAAGTAACCTAGTAACCAGCAGATGGATTCTAGTCTCCCACTTAATTCTAGCCCCAATCCAAGAACAGTTAGCTCTTATAGCACAGCCCTGCTCAATTCCTGCCTACATGAAGTGATCACTGAAGATGTGAGGCTACAACAAGTGTGGTAAAAAAAAGCAGATGGTGCCCTGCTATCAACTGGAATGGTGTCTAAGGTCAAAGGTTTATACTCAAACATGTAGCCATCTAAGAGAGGAGTTGACTAAGACCACACGGAAGAAGCACACCAGCCTGTGTGATCCAAAAATGACAAATAACAAAATCCAAATATGATGAAGGGAAAGGTATCAGAGTTCAAATTATGAACACCCAATTTGTAGAAGGCTATGCAAGAGAGTGGAGAGAGTGGGAGCCCAAAGTTCATCTGCAGAGCACCTCGTCAGAGTAAGCCTCTGGCAGATCCCCTCTGGCAATCAAGGGACTAGAACAGTTTTGCTATTAGGCAGAGATTATTATAAACTTGATTATGGTAGATGGAACTGTGGCATAATGTGACACCTGGTCAGTTGACCTCCCTCTTGACCCAACCTGAATTTGCTCTAGGTTTAAATAGTTCTCACTTGTTCCATGACAGAAATTTTCTCTATAGCTTATTTTAATATTGCTGGTGTTCTTTTCTTTCTTCCTGTTTATTATTATTTTTAATTTATTTTTTCTGTTCTGATTTTTGTCTTTTATTGTTTCTGATATTTCCCAGTTTATAAAACACAGACGGATTGGATGTACATAGACAATAACTGATACAATGGTTCATCAGGGATGTGGAGCGAGATTGAGGGGAATTGGGGAGCAAATAATGAATGCGGAAGGGGAAGAGTGCACTAGAACTGACTGTGATAATGTATACACAACTTTTTAAAAGCGAAGTTATGATATGTGAATTTTATATCAATAAAACTATTAGGAGAAAAAAGAAGCAATATGTAAATATCTTAAATAACAGTTTTATTGTTTTGTCACATTTTAAAAATATTTTCTTTTTGTGATTTAATTATTATTTTTTTAATATTTTTCATTCATATTTTAAGACTCTTACAACAATCTAGTTTTGTGTGCCTCTTTTATTGTTCTTATTTATGTACTAGCTGTGTGAAACAATAAACTACCTTCTGATATAGCATTTGTTATACTTAAAACAGTCATTAAGGCAGCCAACTGGTTGTTAAGTTATTTGAATTCCACCAGTATTACTGGTGATTGGAATGTAAAAGTTGGAAACAAAAAGGAAGGACCAACCAACCAACACACTGCCATTGAGTTCATTTTGACTCATAGCAACCCAATATAGCATTTCCAAGGCTGCAAATCCTGGCAGGTGCAGATAGCCTCATCTGTCTCCCCAAGAGCAGGCGGTGGGTTTGAACCACTGACCTTGCAGTTAGTAGTTTCATGCTTATATGACAGCACCACTAGGAATCCATACTGAAATCAAACTCACTGCCATTGGGTCAATTCCAATTCATAGTGACCCTATAGGCCAGGGTAGAAATGCCCCTGTGGGTTTCTGAGACTGCAACTGTTTACAAGAAGAGTTGCCTCATCTTTCTCCTGCAGAATCACTAATGGTTTCAAGCTTCTGACCTTGTGGTTAGCAGCCCAATCCACTATGCCACCAGGGCTCCCCACAAGACTCCTTAGTAGCCAAGATATACATGACCCTGGTGATATAAGTGAAGCTGAAGAGTACATGATAGAATTTTGCTAATACCTTTTTTCAATAACATAAATGGTGAGTATACACATAAATCTCACGAGATGAAATCAAATTGACTACATCTGTGAGAAGCAGCTATGAAAAAGCTCAATATCAGCCAAAATAAGGCCAGTGGCCAACTGTGAAACAGACTATCCATTGCTCATATGCAAGTTCAGGTTGAAGCTGAAGAAAATTAAAACAAGTCAATGAGAATCAACATTGAATAAGTGTGGTGAGTCTCCCCCACCTGGATTTAGAGAACGTCTCAAGAACAGATTCGATGCACGGACCACAAATGAACACAGATCAGATGAGTTACGGGATGATAACAAGACCATTACACACAAGGAAGGCAAAAGGTCACTAAAAGGACATGAAAGAAAGAAAAAGATCAAAGTGGGTGTCAGCAGAGACTCTGGAACTTGCTCTTGATCACAGGGTAGCTAGAGCAGATGGAAGAGTGAAGTGACAAATTGAAGAGGACATTCCAAAGCGCAGCGCAAGAAGCCAAAGTAAAGCAGTGTAATGAAATCTGTAAACACCTGGAGTTAGACAGCGAAAAAGGAAGAATATGCTCAATGTGTCTCAGCTGAAATACCTGAAGGAAAAATTAAAGCCTTGACTTAGAACAGTGAGAGATTCTATGGGCAAAATATTGAATAATGTAGGAAACATCAAAAGAAGAAAGGATGTCACTACCAAAAGGAATTGGTTTATGTGATACCATTTCGAGAGGGAGCATATGATCAAGAAGTGATGATACTGAAGGGAGAAGTCCAAGCTGCACTAAAAACACTTGTGAAAACATGGATCTAGGAATTATGGAACGCCAAGTAAAAGGTTTTGAAAAATCTAAGCAGTGCTGGAAGCGCTCAATAGTCTATCCCAATAAACTTGGGAGACAGATACCTGGCCAACCAACTGGAATGTGCCCATTCCAAACATAATGTGGAAATTATCAAACAATACCATTAATATCATGTGCAAGTAAAACATTACTTAAGATCATTAAAAATGGCTTCAGCAGTACACCAACAGGGAACTGGCAGACACTGAAGCCAGATACAGACGAGGACGTGGCACGAGGGCTATCAGTGTGAAGGGTGTCAGATGAAGCGTAGCTGAGAGCAGAGGCTACTGGAGATACGTTCACTTGTCTTTTATTGATTGTGCAAAGGCACTTGACTGTGAAGATGACATTGAGAAAAATGGGGATTCTGAACAGTAATTGAGCTAATGAGGAACCTGTACATAGGCCAAGAAGAAGAAGTTGTTTGAACAGAACAAAGGATTGGGGCACGGTTTAAAATCAGCAAAGTGTGCTTTAGCGGTATATCCTTTTGCCACACTTCTTCGGTGTGTATACTGAGAAGTTGAGTTCTATGAAGAAGAACTTGGCTGAAGTTGCTGACAGTGAAGAGGGCTTGAAGCATTTACTGCTGAAGATCAGCGACTAAGTTTCCTGGATGGATTACGACTCAATGTAAACAATAATTCACACGCCTGAACCAATGCACAGCACCATGATAAATGCAGAAAACATCCA